ATATAAAGCCATTATGGCTTTATTTAAATGTAAATTTTGTTTTCCCAAAGTAGAGAAAGGCAACAAAGAAGGCATAGGAAAATTAAGGGAAAAACAGAGGAGGGGAATAAAAAAACTTCAATTTTGGACAATTTCGAGTCATTTTCATCCGTCGGTCCAATTGAAAAATTTGTTCGTCTCGAAGGAAATCATAATATGTACATCTCAATTTTAAAAAAATATGTAATTTTTAGTGAATTTTTTTATGAAAAGTTTGTTTTCGTTGGCAAAAAATAAGGAAAATTTTACACTATAAAACTTTTATAAAATAATTTTTTATATGTTATAGATATTATCATTATATACATTTTAAATATTTTCTAGAAATTTTACAATAGAGGTTTGAAATTTATTGGATTTTTATTGAATAGAAAATAATTTAGATACTGAAAATAATGCAGTAATTCAATAAATGTTTTGAAATAGTGTTTTACACATTCATTTCTAATTTGGTATTGTTTTGATATTGTGAAAATTTGCTCAATAGAAATTTCAGTTGCCTACTGCAATAGAATACTATGAAATTCTTACATGTGCTAAATTTTGTTATTTTGATTTTTGTACATTAAGCTAATTTATTTTTCAATCCTGTAGCTCAACATGTAACTATGTATTGTACTGTAGATATATATTTTGATGAAATGAAAGAAACCATGTGTATGATTTTTTTTAGTATTTAGATGTTTTAATAATTTTGTAGTCTGTAATTTTATTTGAAATAAAATTGGAATAGAATCTGAAACATTCTAAAACTAGATTTTTAGAATTGCATGTCATAGCTCAACACGATTAGACCTATCATGATCAGGTGTTGGGTGTGACACTAATAACCATCCAATTGGCTAGCTCGATATTTACAGGTGTTGAAAATCATTTAGGACAATAAATTGTCCTAGCTTGACTATATTATTTTTTTATAGAAAAATACAAAATCCATGACAGTATCAAGGCTGATGCTAATAAACATTTGAGCAAATTTAGACAAAAAAAAAAAGAACAATCAAACTTGAGACAACTTTTAATCACCAGATTATATGTTGACAAAAATTAAACATTTTTTTAAGGAACCCTAAAGCTCATCATATTGACAGCTTCCTCATTTCCATAAATCATCATCTCCACACTTGTAATATTCATTACCGTCCTCACAATGATCATAATCATCATTGTCACCGTCAATATTGATACGACCCTTAGCATTATCTTCAATGAATTTTGTTAAGTCATCATTTCACATTCTCCTCCTTGTATTATCCTGCTCAAAGTGGGATAAATGAAATATCAAAAATATAGGAGAAACACAATCTAATTGATGAAATCCATGGACATGTATGTCAAATTCAATAAAACTTTGCAACTGAATGCACGTTAATATCAAAAGATTGATAAATAATAAATATGAGGAAACTCTAAATTTAGTCATAAAACTGTCGTAAAAAAGTTATTTAAATTTATTATATAATTTCTAAAAATTATCAATGATAGAATTATAAAATTTTAGATTGAAAAATCATGGAGTGAAAGTGAGCTGCTGATATACAAATTGAAGAGTTTACATAATTTTATGAACTCAACCAAAAGCTGTCAGCATCACACGTACCACTATAGTGATATTTTTTACAAAATAATAAGTTGCCCCAAATTGACATCAACTTCGATGATGATAAAACCAATGACGAATTCCCTTTCAATTAGATGCCCAAGTTAAATAAGCAACATACCAAAATTATATCTTTATTAGGAGCTCCAAACCCAATAAAGAAAAGGTAATGAGAAAACGTTGGGAATCCCTCTTTCCAACTAAACCCCCTACATAGGGAGTTGAATGGATAGGGAGGGTAGATAGGTCAAAGAGTGTGAGATTATGTGACCAAAGAAACATATATGCAAGTATAAATAAATGTGCTTTATTCTTGGACATATATAAAAGTACGAATTGAATATATATATAGCCACAATGAATAGTGTGGTTCAGTGAACCATTATATTTAACATCGGATGGTATTAGCAGGAGAAGGCTATACAACCACATCAGGCAACTAGACTTCGATCATTACTTGGGCTTTGTCCGAATCATATTTTGAATTAGAACAAGTATGCAAAGGTTTAACTTTTTAACTACACAATGAAGGCAATTCTTAAAAGAGCAGACGTGAGGTAACTTGCATCATATAACTTGCTTTTAAAAGATTATAATTAGACAATTGCACTCATGGATTTTCTTTAAACTTATATGCACGGATTTGAGGGTATTTCGGAATGTGTAAAGATTATTCAACTCATGCATGGTCACTCTAAAAGCGAAAGACGTGATTTTTTATGTTTGCAAGCTAATTCGACAAACCTAACGTAGCTTAGCTCTAACATTGAAATTATAGCACTTATATAGAGATTGTAAATATTTAAATGTGAAAACATGGTACAAGAAACATACATTCCGCTTTAGGTCAGGATCATGAGATTTTGTAGATGTTGAGCTCATGTTGTCTGTTGGATGCTTATATTTCTTTTCCTTCAAAATGTGCAACAAAAGTCCATCACGCAAGTAATTTAATATTAAAATTATAATTTATTATGCAATTATTCACTTTGCAATGAACATCAATATGCCATTAGAATTGGTCATGTAAGAAGATAGAAGGCAATTGAAGAAAAAAAACAATATACATATACACACACACACAAAGGTTTGAATTTTTAACTACACAACGAAGGCAATTCTCAAAACTGTAAAAGCTACATATACCATTTAGTTAAAAATAAATAAACTATGTATAAATTGATAGTTTTTAGTTTTGAACCCCTACATGCACTAAGATTGTGTTTTTTTTTTTTTCAAGGGGACAAAAGGAAAAGGAAAAGCATCTTTTTATAATATCATCGGCTTAAGAGAACATACCTTGTACAAATATTCCAATACTTCATAATTGATTTTTGAATTGAAAGTCTGCAAAAAATGACCAGTATCTAATAAACAGAATAAAAAGTGAAATAAGCATGATTTAAATAACTATAGTAGAAAAAGAAATAAGCATGACTATATTAGAATAAACTTAAAAAAATGCTAGCATTATAATATCAGCACAAAACGCAATACAAATATTAAATATTTCTTCATCTTATTATCGACTCCAAAATATTCACCTGGCTCTATATTCTAGCATATCCACATTTGAGGACTTCATGTTACTAGGTGAACTTTTCTTGGAAGTAAACTCCTATAGTTATAACCCTTTGAACCACAAGAGAGACCACTCCATTGAAAATAATCACTAGGCTCAACAATTAATTTTTTTCCTTATTCGTTCAAATAAATTTGCATTTGTTGTATATTTTATTGTTCTCTATGAACTTTCATAATTTCTAAGATATCTTGGTAAATTCAAAGAGTTGCCACAAAATTTTCAATCCATTGAAGGTTGTTCGCTATTGCAGCGCTGATTTGATTATATTAGTCATATAGTTATCGCTGCATCTCATAATAGGTTAGGAAAGATAAAAATCTGGTGAACATGTGCTCAAATTCAATTGGACCATGGATCAAATGGCACATTGAGGTATTGTTCTTGGTTTTTAAATATTTCAAAGAGGTTATATAACTTGAGCAAACTGATGATAAGATGTAGGTAGAGCTAGAAAAGACGGTTGGACATGGGTGCACCCACATTATGCCGCAAATATGTTGTTGCATCATGAGGTAACTTGCATCATGTAACTTGTTTTTAAAAGACTAATTGGACAATTGCACTCATGAATTTCCTTTAAACTTCTATAGCATGAGTTTGAGGGTATTTTGAAATGTGTAATGATTATTCAGCCCATGGTCACTCTAAAAGCGCAGACGTGACACTATAGGTTTGCAAGCTAATTTGACAAACCTAAACATAGCTTGGCTCTAACATTGAAATTATAGCACTTATATAGAGGTTGTAAATATTTAAATGTGAAAACATGGTACAAGAAACATATCTTCCACTTTAGCTCTTGACCATGATATTTTGTAGATGTTGAGGTCATGTTGTCTATTGGATGCTTATGTTTCTTTTCCTTCAAAATGTGCAACAAAAGTCCATCACACAAGTAATTTAATATTAAAATTATAATTTATTATACAATTGTTCATTTTGCGATAAACATCAATATGCTATTAGAATTGGTCGTGTAAAAAGATAGAAGGCAATTGAAATATATATATAAGTTTTTTTTTACAGATAATAGCTCCATCCCACTACTTCGTAATTCATCAAGTTTCATTAATTTTCTATAAAAAGGTGGGACTTCTAGGAAGATTTTATTTTATTTTTCCTACAAGAAGCAAAACCCATTCACTAAATAGTCTATACAAATAGTTTAAAGCCAAAAGTTCATGATGAGCTTTCTGAAATATCAATAAGAGTTTCAAGCCAATAGTAATTTTATTCATATTTAATAAATCGTTCAGTTATATAATTTTGATTTTGGTCTAAAAAAAATCTTTTAGTTAGAAGAAATTATTATGATGTTGTTTAATCATATGTTTCCAAAATGCATGAAATTCTGAAATGGAAGACTTATTTGACTAGATGCAAAGCAAATACATTGAAATATTTTTTTACTCGTTGGAATATATTTCAAATACTCTCTTTTTCTCTCTCCAATATGTGGTTGGTAAAGGGTGACAATAAGAGTGTGGCAAGTCATGCGACGCAAGTGAGGGCACAACGTGGCAAGTGTAAGGTGTTGCAAACAACGAGTGATATGACTCCATATTTCAAAGTCACCTAATTCAGCCTATTTTCAAATACGAGAAATTTGGGATTTTAGGACATTTCAAATCACTCAATATTTCATTAAACCCTTAGATGATTCCATCCTCACGCCGAAGATTCATTTAGAAACAAAAGGAATGTTAAGATTATATCTTTATGATGCAGGATTGGATATATCTTCTTAAAAGCTTAAGAAAATGTGATTGATAGTATCTTATTTTTAGAGTCTATGGGAACCTATAGGACATGATTTGTTCATATATGTAAGCAAATCTTACTCATGCAGATAAAGTAAATTTTGTCAAATTCAGTGTGACCTCCTCAAAAATGGCTATAATAACGAAATAATATGGTGACATTCGTTCCAATCCATAAGTTAAATAAATTTAAAATGTTCAACATGTATGCTTTCCCAGAATATTTGCATAAATAAAAGATCAAATATTACAAAGTTAATGCATTAAGGCTCTATCTACAGTAATAGGTTAAAGTGAATTTTCGCTGAGGTAGGTTTGATCCAAGAAATGCCAAACATCAAGAACATCAACTTCATAAAGGCTCCCATGCTTCACAGTTCTTCCAAGCAAACCCTGCAATATGTGATGCTCAATTTTCCTTAGATGATTCATTACTTCTCTATATTCAACAATTAAAACAAAATATTTGTTCATGCAATCAGGTTAATCTGTCCAAGAATGAATTAATTCCACAAACTAGCATAAACCATAG